GTCTGGTATTTATTGGGGACGGAATTAGGTTAAGGAAGTCGTCCAAAATCTTACTAAATAGTGTTTGAGTCGAATAAGGAAACCTGAGATTTCGTCACATTTTTATACCATGCGACCTCATGGAATAAAGTGTTTGAGTCGAATAAGGAAACCTGAGATTTCGTCACATTTTTATACCATGCGACCTCATGGAATAAAGCCATGCTACCGCATGGTTCAAAAGTTTCAGCCCAGATTTTTCCCTGTATTGCCTTGTGCGACCGCATGGTTATAGAAATTTTTTCGTCGGCCAGCGTTCAGTATTTTGATCATAACTTTTTTCCTGATCTCCGATTGAAGTGATTCAAAGTGCATTGGGAAGAAAACTCAAAGATCTACCGTTTTGATAGAAGTAGGATTCCTCAAATTTTGATTTTTACTATGCCAAAAATGGATCTCAAGTAGAGACTAAAAATAACGAGTATAGCTTTTTCGCCTAAAAGTTGATGCTTGATAATACTTCGATCATAATTCACCTCTTGACTCCTTTCCTCATCAGATTGACCTCTAACACTATTTAATCTTCATTCCATTTCCGTCTCATCTATGGATTATTTGTAACTTGGTCCCCGAACTTTCAGTTTGATTCATTTTGGTCCTTTTTGCTTGTTTCTTTTATTCCCATCATCTCGTAATATCACCAAATTGGTACTTAGCTCATTCACTTCCTGGATTTTTCCGTCGGACCATCTTTTGGATAATTTCACTTTGGTCCCTGAACTATCACTTTGCTCCATTTTAGTCCTTTTTTGGATTTTTTCTCCTAAATTCCACCATTCCATAGAAACACATACATTGCATGAATTCAACGAGATTAAATCACAATTTAAATATTTTTCTCATAATTAAGTCATGTATGTGATCTAAATAAGTGTGCAAAAACACACTTATCATTCACAATAGAGGGGATGTAGTAAATTGAATTTGTAGAACTCCAGAAAATGATATGAATTTGTTGTATTTTGTTGAACTTATGATTGCATGCATAATTAAAAATTTAAGGATGACCCAAGTGAAGATCAACGCATTGAAGGAAGGGTCTGTATTTGGTAATTGCTCATGTTTAAGAAGAGTTGATGGAATTGATCCTAGATTAAGACTCAGCCATCACCAAGAAATTAAAATACTTCAACAAGAAATAAAATAACACGAGATTTTTCGGTCCAAGCCATGAAAGTTCAGTGACTACTTCTAATCGTTGAGCATTCGTTAGGATTACGTTCAAATTCACTAGCACAGACTCAAAATACAAGGCAATTTGTTCGATTACAAAGAAAACAACAGTTCTTACAGTTCTTAAAACTCTTACATAGAAAGAACTCTCTCAACCTTTCAACAACTACAAACCACTCACAAGAGAGATGTACTTCCATTAATTCACAACACCATCTCTTTTTCACTAAGAAGTTACAGAGAAAACCATCCAAATGAAGAATGTATCATAGAGTCGAAAATCAAGAGAGAACGAGAGAAGCTGCTAGGGTTTAAAACATTGGTGCCAAGTAATCCACATTAAGAAACCTTTTATAAAGAAAGCATGTTTACCAAAAACGTGTCCAGTTGGCAAAGAAGTCCTCTTGCTCTGGTGCAGATCTGTTGAGCCCACAACTATTTAAGCTTAGTAGCCTTCGTCTTAATGGAATCAATTTCATCTGCTATTATCTCAAAGTTTTCACAAAAGTTTGTTGGAGATTTACTTAATCATGCACCGCAGAAAATAAAACAAATTTCAATTCCCATAAATAATCTGCTTTGTGTTTAGATAGAAATTGTGATAGAAATTGCACATTTCTTGAATTCTGCCAACTCTTTTGTTATTCTTTTGTTCCAATAATTTTGATCTGCCACCAACAGCTGTTTACTTGTCTATTCTTCAATAGAATTCCACACAGAGAACAAGATTGAGAGAGAATCAGGGTGTTATTTTCTTATGCTAGTAAGAAGAATGAAAATCTCTATAGTTTTCAAACTCTAACTGTTTATTTATATAAGTCCAAATGGTCTTGGCCCTTCTCCTAACCCGGTCCATTATGATCTAATCAATTACTAGATATAAATAAGTGTCAATCTCAATTATCAATCATATCTTTCATTCCACTATTAAGTCAATGCAAGTCAAAAACTCTTTTTCGACATTTGAATACATCTTGTCCAAGGATTTTATTATCAACTTAATGGAATGAAATGTACGTCATAATTTCTTATAATCTAAGAGTGACGAATCTTCTATTGGTGATTCACAATCTTCATACGATTTTTCATATACCTGAACGTCGTATTAGCGACCTTGGTAGAGCAACATCCAACATCACTAAAATATGACTGCCCTCATACAAGGTATAATAATGATCTCAAATCAATGGACCAATTTCACTACCGAACTTCAGAGATTAACCACAGATACTCAAATAGTTATCTATGTGGAATCTCTTAGCGGGTCTCCAATATTTTATTCTATAAGAAAACATCCACGTATTCATTTAAGTGTCACCATACTTTAGCTTGTAAGATCAACTGCTTACTTCACAGGTAACAAATGTCACACGTGATGGTCTATCCATAATAACGATATCTGTATCTTGTTGTTACTTACGACCAAGGATTATTTAAGATTCAATCATGTAACGATCGAAATTCTCGAAACACGAAGCGTTAAAAAGAAATCTTTCTTTGGCTCGACCCTTTTGATGTTAACCAAAAAAATTTGTAAATGAGAAAAAAAATTTGAGTTTGAAATATATAAAAATAATGAGAGATATTTGTCCATGTAGACTTAGGCAATTATGGTGAAGTTTGATTTTGGAAAAACATTTGGGGAAAAATCAGCAAGTACCAATTGTGCAGCAATGAAAAGAAAAATAAGTTTGGTCTAGTAAACGTCGACGAAAAATTATGAAATTTTAATTGAGACTAAAACATTCAGGTTTGTACAACATATAAAATTTTGGGGTCTTGATGATAATGTTTGAAACACGAAAATAGTGTTCGACTATGCTGGACAGAAAATTCGGATCCGACTCAACTCAGTTTACTAAAACATGTATAATTTTTTCTCTAGGTAATATTTTTTTTGGGTAATTCCAAAGACTGCTATTAGAAGACTCGTAAACTTTCTAAATCCCATTGATTTCTCTCTAAAATATGTATTGTAGCCCAAGTTATGGCATTTTGAGTAGAAGGGCAGAATTTGGAAATCCAATGCAACAATACTTAAACTTCATGCATAGTCAAATACAATGTTTATAAAATTATAGTTGATATGCAATGTATATAAAACTAGAAGAATTAGGCCTTTAAACATTTTTAAAAGTGCCATCTAGTTATTCATAATAGATTTTCATGAACTGGAAATTTTACTAGAAAGTTGAAAGCTTTTCAAATCGCCGAGCACTTGCCATTATCCCATGCCTCGAATCAACATGTAAGATTTTAGTATGGATGAGTACTACAAACAATACTCAATAGGAAAGCACTAAAGTAAATGGTGTGTGTGTGTGTGTGTATATATATAGATATAGATATATGTATCATATTCAGAAATGTAAACTTCGGTCATTTATCTCACCATCAATCTCGTCATCTCTTATTTGAACCACCAAACAGTGCTTCCTTCATGAGTAACAAAATAACACAAATTTAAATTTTTGTCATTAGTGTCGCCTTCAATCTCTTTCTCTTAATTGAACCACCAAACGGCGCTTCCATCATGAATAACATAATAAAACATTTAATGCAAATCGAAAACAAATGATTTTTACATCACATACAAAAGTTCCGAAAACACACATACCTTAACGCTTGGAATTTAAATATCCTTTCGTGTCCCATATATTACTTACAACATACTTTTACTTCTTTAGAAAATTTTAGATTCAAAGGTTCCTTTTTTCTATGGAAAAGGGCAAAATAATTTTTTATATATATGTATAATAGTTTGGGAGAAAAAATGTGGTTATAGAGGTTGTAGGAAATTTTTGTTTCTAACAAGGTGTATGTGCATCAACTTGAAAGAAATGAAGTTTCGTTCTAAGATAAAACTTTAACCTAAACATGTATATAAAATTCTAACAAAATCGTAACTCCTAAGTAAATTCAAATGGCTTTTCAGTTTAATCATTTGATTTCCAAATGTAAGATGTAAATTAAGAATTCTCATACCACATACACATAAATTATATAATTTTAAAAAGGCAATCAAGTTAATGAGAATTAATGAAATTGATCACTGTTAGTTATTAAATTTTAAATAAATTACACAGACCTTTTCATAACCGTACAAAACTCCCATTCTAGAAATATACATACATACATACATACATACATACATACATACATACATACATATATACACACACACACACACAATGTATGTATATGTATATACATATATATGTATTTGTATATATGTATATGTATATATGTATACGTGTGTGTGTGTATATATGCGTGTGTGTGTGTAGTGAAAGATAGCACTTTGCAGTTTATTAGAATTAATCGAATTTAGCTATTTCAAAATCATTTTCTCTCGAGTCCAAATTACTTTATTTAATATGAGCTACAAAATGAGTATAATATTGATATATTTTCATCAACTTCAAAAATACTTAAATATTCAATCCAAATAGTTTACGATAAATTCTAAAAGTGCATGTAAGCAAATAAATCACTTATGGAGTTTGCCACTTCAACCTTTGGACTTTTAGTGTAACGACAACTCTATACATTTTTATTTGTTAAATGATCAATATTAAGTTTAGAGTAGCGACATAATAAATATAACTCAACTTATTTTCGAATCTTGCAATAAAATTTTATTTCAAAATGACACAAAATATTTTTTTTTCTCGGTCGCTACAACTCTCCCACTTAAAATGATTTCATCCTCGAAATTTAACTTCCCTTTCCCAAGTAGCCTCATCCTAACTATGTTTATTACACTGGACTTTGACTAATGGAACCCTTCAATTCCTCAGAACATGGTCCTTTCTCTCCAAAATTACTGCAGGAGCTTCTTTGTATGTCATATCACTCTGGACATCCAGTGATCGAACATTCACAACATGGTTAGGATTTGGAATGTACTTTCTCAACATAGAAACGTGAAATACGTTGTGCACTATTGATAGTTCGGGTGGCAATGCTAAACGATATGCCACATTACCAATTTTTTCAAGAATCTCAAATGGATTAATAAATCTTCGACTCAATTTTCCTTTCTTTCCAAATCGTAGTATTCCTTTCATTGGTGCCACTTTGAGAAATGCTTTCTCTCCAACCTCAAAAGTCAATTTTCTCCTTTTGTCAATATAGCTCTTTTGACGGTCTTGGACGGTCTTAATTCTTGTTCTAATTTATGTATAGCCTCCATAGTCTTCTTGACCAATTCTACACGTAAAATTTTCCTTTCACCAACTTCATCCCAGTATAATGGCAAATGACATCATCGACCATACAAAGCCGCATATGGTGCCATGGCAATAGTAGCTTGGAAGCTATTATTGTACGCTAATTCAACTAACGGCAAATGATCTTTTTACTTTCCACCTAAATCTAGGACACAAGCTCTCAATATATCTTCAAGAACTTGGATAGTTTGTTTAGATTGCCCATAGCCTGAGGATGGTATGCAGTACTAAATGTTAACTTGATACCTATAGCTTTTTGAATGCTTATCCAAAACTTCAAAGTAAACCTTAGGTTTCTTTCAGATATGATAGAAACTAGAACACCATGAAGCCACATAATCTCTTTGATATAAATCTGTGCGAACTGTTCTAAGCTATAGATTGTTCGGACTGGCAAAAAATGAGTGGATTTTTTCAGTCGATCCACGATCAACTAGATTGCATCATGACCTCTCATCAATCTAGGAAAACCAATGACAAAATCCATTGCAATCTTCTTCCATTCAAGGTATGTCCATAGGGTTCAACGGTCCTGATGGCCTCTATTGTTCAGCCTTCACCTATTGACAAGCCATGTCTTTGGACACAAATAGAGCTATCTTTCTCTTCATATTTCTCCACCAAAATGTGTCACACAAATCTATATACATTTTAGTTCTACCTGGGTTTGCAGCATAAAGAGTAGAATGAATTTCAGTCATAATCTCATTCCTTAATACTTTGTCCTTCTTTGGCTAATTCAAATCCTTTCTTCTTCTTAGTTCCCACTTCTGCCTTAATCTTTTCCAAAAAAGGAGATCATCTCTCTGAGCAGCTACTATTCTATCCCTGAGTGTCGATTTCATTGTAAAACTTGCTAACATTGCTGATGTCCTTACTGGTGGCGATAATACTTCAATTTACATGTTCTCATAATCCCTAATTAAATGATCATGCCTTGTACACAGTACTGACAAATGTCCCATTTTCTTTCTACTCAACGCATTAGCGATTATATTAGCCTTACCAATATGGTACAAGATATTGTAGTAGTAATCCTTCACCAGTTCTAACCACCGTCGTTGTCTCATAATTACCTCTTTTTTGGGGTGAAGAAGTATTTGAAACTCTTATGATCGGTATAAATCTCACTCTTGCTCTCGTATAGGTAGTGGCGCCAAATTTTCAAGGCGTGCTCTACCACTGCTAGTTCAGATCATGTGCAGGGTAATTTTGTTCATATTGCTTTAATCGCCTCGAAACATAAGCTATCACTTTCCCATGTTGCATCAAAACACATCATAAACCAAGCTTGGATGCATCACTATAAATCACAAAACCTTCCAAACCATCGGGAATAGTAAACACTGGCGCCGATACAAGCTTGTCCTTTGACTTTTAAATACTCTGCTTCCATCTGACCGTTCAAACTTAGTATCCTTCCGAGTCAATTGTGTCGTAGGACTTGCTATCTTGGAAAATTCTTCTATAAATCATTGATAATAGCCGGCTGAACTTGAGAAACTCTCACTTCTCCAACATTTGTAGGATTCAACCAGTCGATCGCAGCTTCAACTTTGGATTGATCCACTTCAATTCCTCGTGCGAAAACAGTATGGCCTAGAAATCCCACTCGGTCCAACCAAAATTCAGATTTCTTGAATTTGGTATATAACTTCTCCTCACGCAATGTTACAAAAACTATCCTCAAGTATTCTTCATGTTGATAAGAATCTCCCGAGTATATCAGTATGTCGTCAATAAATACGATGATGAACATGTCCAAATACCATGGAACACTCTATTCATCAAGTCTATGAACACCATAGGGGCATTCTTCAAACCAAAGGACATCACCGTAAACTCATAATGCCCATATCGGGTCCTAAATGCCGTCTTTAGTATGTGATCTGACTTAATCTTCAGTTGATGGTAGCCCGACCTCAAATCAATTTTTGAGAACACGGATGTGCCCTCCTAGGAAGGTGATACTTATTTTTAATTCTCAACTTATTTAGTTCACGGTAGTCGATATACATCCTCATAGTACCATCTTTTTTCTTTACAAAGAGTACCATATCTCTCCATGGAGATACATTCAGTCTAATGAACCTCTTTTTCTAGAAGTTCTTCTAACTACATATTCAACTCTTATTTATTTGGTGCCAATCGGTGTGGAGCTTTGGACACAAGATTAGCTTCAGATATCAGATCTATTGTGAATTCCACTTGTCTATCAGGAGAAACACCCGGTAGATCATCGGGAAACAAGTTAGCATACTCCCGTACTATTGGCACATCATAAAATACTTTCTCTCGAGTGGAGGTGCTAGTAAGACGGACAAGGTATCCTTAACAATCAACTTTCTCAACGTGCTCTCTGTGTTTAAAGTTGAGATGATGCGAGGAAGTTCCTTAATCCTAAATCCATAAAATCTGAATCTTCTTTCCCGATCTTCGAAAAATTACCTCTTTCTCAAAACATACTATTGTGGCTCGATTCTCACCTAACCAATCCATACCTAAAATAATATCAAAATCCTTCATCTCTATAACATACAAGTCACCCTGTAAAATCAATCTGTCTAAATTTAGCTGCACTTCCTTTGCTATCCTATCCGTATCAATTATTTCCCCTGATGGCATATTAACCTCTAGTATACTTTCATTCTTCTGACATTAAGCATTAATCTTAGCTAGACATGTATTAGATACGAAAGAATGTATCGCATCGAAATCAATCAAGATGTATACAGGAATACTAGAGACGGATAAAATACCTGCGATCACGTCCAAATTTTTGGCAGCCTCATTTTGAGTCAAAGCAAATACACTTGCTTTTCCTTTCTTTTCTTGCTCAGGTTTCTAAATCAATGGGAATGAAGAAGCCACATGGTCAGGTTGACCACACTTATAGCAGACATACTTTCCATATAGACATTCTCCTTTGTGAAACTTGTTGCACTTAGTACATTGGGATAAAGGATTGCTTGGCTAACCCACATGTGTCTGCTTTACAAATTTTCTTGTATTTTTATTCTTGTCCTGCCACTTCATTTTCTTTTGAAGTGTTTACGCAGTCCTTGATTTACCAACTTCACCCCGCGTAGGTCACTATTTGAGCTTTCTTTACCACTGCCTGAAAAGTGGTGAGATCATGTAGACTCACAATCTGCTTGATCTCTAGGCACAAGGCTCTTTCGTAATGTTTTGCATTCATGAACTTAGTACTTACAAGATGTGAGGCATATCAGAACAATTCCTCAAATTTGCTCTCATATTTAGAAAGTTCCATATCTTCATGTACCAGTCTTAAGAATGTTGTCTCCTTGTGGTCTCGCATTGACATGACTCATCTCGAATCACCCTAATGGACCCAACATATGTCGTGCACCGATGACAGATACCAACTAAGTGCCGAACCTTCCATCAATACAACTTTGACCTTCTTAGACTGTGACATACTTTGTAAAAATTTTGCCAAATTTCCCTCTGAATTATGGACTAAAACCACCTGAAAATATATTCCAACATCCCAAACATGTACATATAGTTTAAAATAGGGTACACTGGTCCCACAGAATACCAATCAATTCAAATACAACAGGTAATTCGACCTTTGCACTAATTTACAAACAAAAGTACCCAAATGCATAATACATAGAAAACACAGCAGGCCCAAGACATAGAACTAATTTCTGACCAAAAGATGTGTCTATCCTAAAATATGAACTATTAAACTGATAAGATGAATCATAAATATATGTATTCCAGATATGCCAACTTTCTGAAAATTGGTATATAATAAAAACTTTTGTTATTGTACTATAAGCTAAAACATTTATTCTTTAATCTGAATGACTAAATTCTGTAATCTAAAAACTGATGAACTTGAATTTACTGAAAATCACACCAGAATGATGCCCAAAATAACCTTACTCATGTATCAGTTAGTGCCGATATACATGGCAAAGCTATTCGATTCTGAAATTCTGAAATTTTGAAGTTTTGCACTCAGAGCTATCTAGTCATACAATATGGAAACACATTCACAATAGTACAGAGGGGTTAAAATCACCAGAACTGGTAATACACTGTGGAAACACATTCATACCAATGCAGACTCGGGTACCTTCTAGTGATTTAAAAAAAATAACTTTAAATATGTTAAAATATTTAATATTGAAATAATATGTCAATGAAATGATTTAATTGAATTGAATTTAACTTTAAAAACAATCGATTATAAATCCACTTTATTCTAAAAATCATATTATAAAATCAACTGTATGAGATAATAAATTTTCTGTTCTAATATAAATTTAATAAATACTAATTTTGAAAAATAAGTTTTTATGTCCACTCACGAATCAAGTTATAGCCTAAGATGGTCGATAATCTTTTCCGATTTCCTCATCCCCTCCTGACATACTATACAATATAATCAATTTAACCATTATTAAAACAAGAAACCTTTTATCCCTAATAATATAATGCCTAAATTAAATTATTCAATACTTGTATAAATTTCCAAATTTTCCTTTGATCAATTGGAGCTAATTCTACTTTCTAATACCTTTACAAATATATACTACATCCAAATTTACCTTCATTTGATTCATAAAATAATTATACTTTCCAATCTAATGCAAACTGGTAACCATAATTCCACCCATTTAAACTTTCATCTTGTTTCTCAACTTCGTGCTTTCATGTGAGTATTCCATCAATATAATCATTTCCCCTAACAATACTTAATAAAAAAAAAATCCCAAATAGAAATCTAGGGTTTGCCAAAAATTATATTGATTACCTTTATCAACTAAAAATTAATCCATCAAGCAATCTAAACAAGGATTCATACTCCTTTCACTAAATCTACAAATTTAACCAACTAATTAAACCCTAGAAATTTAATATCATAATACCACAAAACATTTACTTCTAAATCTCATGAAGAAATGAATAAATGTACTCAAACATGAAAAAATCAACACTGACTTCCTTTCTTCTTCTTTTCTTTTTTCTTTCTTCTTTTTCCTATTTTTTCCTTCTCTTTCTTGGCTTTTTGCTTCTCTGCGTTCTCTAGTGTGCGTGTGTTTTTGAGAGAAAAAAAATGGTCAAAGGTTGAATATAAAGGCCCACTTGTTCAAAATTGCAAAGGAAGTCCTTGCACTCTATTTTAATATAACATTTAACCTTATAATTTCCCTTAATATAAAAGTAAATTTCCCTCTTTAACTTGTATCCAATTTAACCCTCATCTATTGCCAATTATAAAATAAACCCCAATCAAATATTTAATTTCGTTTTAGTGCTTGATTGATTTTGACCTTGACTAGTTAATATTTGGTTTTTGACTAGTGAAATTTGGGCTATAACATGCATGATTTGTGGAAAAAACTTTTCTGTTAGCTAAATCTTGAACTGATCCCAAGTTTGGTTATGTTGTTCCTTTTTACTGCGAGTGCGTGACATAGATTACCACAATGGCCTACTCTTTCGATTAGCATAAATTTTGCACATAATACTTTTTGATTTTTGGACAAGAGATGTGCCGAAAGATCTTTTTAATAGTACGTAACCACTCGCAACTGTCAAATGGTCTTTCCCACCATCAGAGGTAGGGGTCGATATTTACGAAATTGTTCCATCGTCGGAACAGGCGGTGCAATCGGGGATGTTGGTGGCACTGGTGGTGCTTGGGAACTAGTGAAGCTTGAGGTGCTAAAGGTGTAGCTTGAGAAGTTAAGGCCCGTTTCAACTCATCAATCTCCTGCCTTAACTCCCCTGTTGTCCTCACTTGTGCCATATTCCTATATACCAACATAATTGCAATCTCATTTAGAAGAGTCAACGGTACTTGCACAATATAGGAAAATATTTATAGCTCAACATCTCTTATTAATATCTCATAAGAATCCTTCAAGAGGAACACAAAATAATAAAAGAGCGTTTGGCGCTAGTCCACAGAATCATAAAAGAAATCATACTAAACACGAACAACAATTAAACTCAGGGATGGCAATCGTGCTAGTTGGCTCGGGCCGCTGTGGCTTAGGTCAAAAAAAGCCCGAGTCGACTTAGCTCGAGGCTCGGGCCGAGCCCCAATTTGGGTTTTCGAGCCAAGCCCGAGTCGACCTGTATGGCTTGAGGGCTTTATAAAATTAAAAAAGTTAAAAATTTTAAGGCAACCCATTGCCATTTTACTAAGGCAGCAGCCTATATATTAATAAAAAAAGAGAGAGCAAAAAAAAAAGGAACCTGCCCACTTGGCTTCGCTCGGAAAGGCCAGAACCGAAAGGTCGGGTCAAGCCTAATTTTTTTGACCGAGCTTTTGCTCAGCTCGGATCGAGCCCAAAGAAAAGCTTGAACATTTTATCTGAGTCGAGCCCGAGCCAAAATTTTCAGCTCGCG